TGTCCAGTTACATCCTGGTTGCTCCCAGATTGAATGATCTGGGCCTTGATATGCTTTGTAATACTCAAAAGAGTCCATTTCATTTAGTTTTAATCAGACTAACGTGTTTACATGCATTATATTACTCAAAGTTTGGTCTGACTAACACAACAACACATTCTTCTGAGTGGTCCTGTGCAGAAATAGGAATAAACTTGTTGTTTGACTTCTTTTTGTTAATTCTCTGTGTGCTCAGCTTTTCAGCCGTTTAAGGTTTTAGTACCAAAGCAAAGTTTCCAAGACAAAAGGCAGATAAAAGGCATTTTCCGTCAAAGTGTCTTCAGGTTTCTGTACGACATTCTCAACATCAAACAGCTTCTTCCAATGTGTGTTTTCAGCTGTAGATTTTCTCAAATGAGATTCTTCGGTTGTCATTTCTCCCGTTTTAAAGCTGTTTGGCCGTTTGTTCCCCACTAGAGGGCAGAAAGGTCCCAGAGTGAACCGGAGCAGTCTGAGTTTGGAGTGTGAGATCGTTTCTGAAGGTGTTTCTGATCCGGAGTCTCTGTCACGGGGACGCTCACAGCTCCAAACCACATTTAAACATGTCCTTTGATGTCATTTAACACTAAAGTGTCAATAAAACGCTGTGAAGCAGTTTGTGTTTGCTGTTGGACTGTGAACCCCTGGGTTAATTATTACCTATTGATCAGGTTTCAGGATTTACTGGCTTCCCGAGCTTGTTTTGGACTCAGAGTCATTCAGAGAACGAGCAGAAATTAGAAGAATAAAACAAGGGAATAAATACGGGACCTCAGAGCTGGCATTCGCTGACCGGACATTAACTTTCACACCCTTTTTTTCTTCCTGTTAATCTCAACTAGTTCTTGTTTTTTTGCCTCTGAAATATGTTTTTACGACTCGTCAACCACTTGAAACTGTGTCCCTTCAACTCCTGTCTAAGAAAAAAAAAGCGTTTCAGCTTTGAGGAAGTGAAACTCAAACAGCTGCTGAGATAAAAAGAAAACGGCTGAGAAAAGAGTTCGGCTGGACACGGAAAGCGTTTCCTGTTCCATCTGGATCACTGAGTGGTCGATTTGGGGCGATCTGCCGGGTTCCTTTTTTAACTGGGAAAAATCTGAGGAGACTTCTCTTCACAAAGAGATTAAAAGAAGGTAAAACTGTTGGATCAGAGCCTGGAGCCGCTCCCTGTTCTGACTCAGATGCTCCTCCCCGGATCATATTTCCTGCCCCCCCCCCCTCAGATCTGCAGCTGGAGGCGGGGGCAGCCGACAGG